CTCAACACTTTAGACGCCGTCCTTGCCCCGCCATGATGGCCACCATAGGGCGAAGAGTGACAAGCTTCCACAATACTCAGTTGCTCATCTTCAGGAACACATCGGCGAATTATACCATCAGTGCAGATTTTAAAAAGATACGGCTCATCCCAATAGTAATCCAAGCAATCCTGCTTGAGCTTCTTCCTTTGGTTAGAAGAGAGCTCATACGGAACCACACCGGTAACAAGGTAATTGGCAATGTCGGCAAACCATGGCATGTCTAGCATTGAGACCTGGAGGAGTTGTTCATTCGGAAAAGCATTATTTATCTCAAGGCCATCCAAAGGCCTCCCTTCCTCCTCCAATCGAGACAAGTGGTCCGCCACTTGGTTTTCACTACCTTTTCTATCAATGATCTCCAAATCAAATTCTTGAAGAAGAAGCACCCATTTCATTAACCTTGCTTTAGAATCTTTCTTCGTCATCAAATACCTAAGAGCGGCGTGATCGGTATGAATAATCCCTTTGGCCCCCATAAGGTATGGGCGAAACTTCTCCATGGCAAAAACAATGGCAAGCAATTCCTTTTCGGTGACCGTATAGTTCCTTTGAGCTTCATTCATTGTCTTACTTGCGTAGTACACCGGATGGAACATTTTGTTGATTCTTTGGCCCAAGACCGCCCCCACCGCAACATCACTAGCGTCGCACATGAGCTCAAAGGGCAAGCTCCAATTTGGTGCGGTAATAATGGGGGTAGTCGTCAACTTTTGCTTTAGAAGCTCGAAAGCCTCCATACATTTCTCATCAAACACATATTTGGCATCTTTCTCAAGCAATTTACACAACGGGTTAACTACCTTAGAGAAGTCTTTGATGAATCTTCGGTAGAAACCCGCGTGTCCAAGAAAACTCCTCACCCCTTTGACAGAAGTAGGGGGAGGGAGCTTCGAGATAACCTCAATTTTCGCTTTATCAACCTCAATCCCTCTTTTTGAAATTTTGTGACCCAACACAATGCCTTCTTCTACCATAAAATGGCATTTCTCCCAATTGAGAACCAAGTTTGTGTCTTCGCATCGGGCCAATACACGATCCAAGTTTTGCAAGCAATCACCGAAAGAGTCCCCGACCACACTAAAATCATCCATGAAGACCTCCAAAATGTCTTCCACCATATCGGTGAAGATTGCCATCATACATCGTTGGAAAGTCGCCGGTGCATTACATAACCCAAATGGCATTCGAGAGAAGGCGAATGTGCCATAAGGACATGTGAAAGTTGTCTTTTCTTGGTCTTCCGGGGCAATGAGAATTTGGTTATAGCCTGAATACCCATCCAGAAAACAATAGAAAGCCCGGCCTGCAAGACGATCAAGCATTTGGTCCAAGAACGGCAATGGGAAATGATCCTTTCTAGTCACCTTGTTCAACTTCCGGTAGTCCATGCATACCCTCCAACCCGTCACAGTGCGAGTCGGAATAAGTTCATTATTGTCATTAGTCACCACAGTCATTCCTCCCTTCTTTGGCACACATTGTACTGGAGAAGTCCACGAACTATCAGAAATTGGATACACCACACCGGCGTCAAGCCACTTGATGACTTCCTTTTTAACCACCTCTTGCATGGCTTCATTGAGTCTCCTTTGATGTTCAAGAGACGGCCTAGCATCATCCTCCAATATTATCTTGTGCATGCAAAACGCGGGGCTAATACCCCGAATATCCGCCAAGGTCCATCCAATTGCCCGCTTGCGCTTTTGAAGAACCGCCAAAGTGGCTTCAACCTGCACGTTAGTCAAGCAAGAAGAAAGTATAACCGGCAAAGTAAAATTAGGACCAAGAAATTCATACCTGAGGTGAGGAGGAAGTGGTTTCAACTCCAACACCGGTGGCTCCTCAATAGATGGCTTGGTGGGAGGAGTTTTGCGATTTTCAAGATCAAGAGATAACTTCCTCGGTTCATAAGAATATGAGCCCATGCCATGTAATGCATTCACACACTCCACCCTTCTAGCATCATCATCAACATCCATGTTCAATAGCACGGCCTCAAGTGGGTCCTCAACATTAGCCATAGCGCTTGTGTCATCCACTATCACTGCCGTGACAATGTCAACAAACGAGCACACCTCGTTGCTATTTGGTTGCCTCATTGATTTGCATACGTGAAACACCACCTTTTCATCACCAACACGGAAGTTCAATTCTCCCGCTTCCACATCAACCAAGGCCTTTCCCGTAGCTAGGAAGGGCCTCCCAAGAATGATAGGCACCTCAAAATCCACTTCACAATCCAAGATCACGAAATCGGCCGGCAATATGAACTTATCAACACGAACAAGGACATCATCAATAATTCCCAAAGGCCGCTTCATTGACCGGTCCGCCATTTGAAGCCTCATAGAAGTTGGACGAGGTTGTCCGATTCCCAAGGTCTTGAAGACCGAATATGGCATTAAATTGATACTTGCCCCCAAGTCGCAAAGGGCTTTTGCAAAGTCGGCACTTCCAATGGTACATGGGATAGTGAATGCGCCGGGATCCTCAAGTTTTGGAGCCATAGAATGCACAATTGCGCTCACTTGATGGGTCATCTTGATTGTCTCACACTCCATTGATCTCTTTTTTGTAACCAAATCTTTCATGAACTTTGCGTATCCCGGCATTTGCTCGAGTGCCTCCACCAAAGGCACATTGATAGTCAAACTCTTCATCATTTCAATAAATTTCTTAAATTGGTTGTCACCCTTTTGCTTGGCCAACCGTTGAGGGTAGGGCGGAGGAGGTCTAGGCAAGGGTGCCTTGGCTTTTGGCACCTCCGGTTCGGGCATATCAATGACGTGTTCCCTAGACGGGTTCACGGCCTCTTGAGTCTCCTCCTCACCCTCATCAATTGCAATTCTCCCATCATCATTTGCACTTGGTTCGACAACATCCTCAACTACCAACGGGATCTCATCATTTTGCAACTCATCTTCATCTACCGGAACTCGGTTATCTCTTGAGGCATGCACATCACCGCCTCTTCCACTTCGTGTTGTCACTGCCATCACATGATTGTTGTGCCCTCCCTTGGGGTTTACTACCGTGTCACTTGGTAGAGCACCCTTTGGGCGAGTATTTAAAGATTGAGAGATTTGGCCTAATTGCACTTCCAAGTTCCTGATAGATGTGTTATGCGAAGCTAATTGGGCCTCGGAATCTTGACTTTTTTTCATCATTTGTTCGAACATGCTCTCTATTCGACTCATGTCATTGCCCGACGAACTCGACCCTTGAGATTGGAACGGAGGCGGGTTATTGGGCTGTTGATACATTGGGGGCCTTTGATAGCCTTGCCCCCTATTACCTTGACCACCATTGTTGTTGTTCCAATTGTTGTTCCCGCTCCAATTTCCTTGATTCCCAGAATTATTGTTCCCCCAATTGCCTCCTTGATTGTTGTTGTAATTCCAATTGCCGCCTTGTTGATTGCCCCAATTACCTTGGGGTCTCCATTGCTGATTCCCTTGGTTGCCTCTATTCCCTTGGTAGTTGTTGACATATTGGACTTCCTCACTTTGGTCATCAAAACCTTCATTCGAATACCCACCACCATCATTGTTGTTGTCATATTGTTCACAATTACCTTGAGGTTGTTGTCCTCTTTGCCTCCTTTTCAACATAGAAACACCTTCCATTGCATTGACTTGGCGCGGGTTTTGGACTTGTTGCAATTGCGCCTTTGCTAATTGATTCATAGTTGTTGTAAGTTCGGCTATCGCTTGGCCATGATCGTGCAATTCCTTGTGCAAATGGATGACCGTGGGGTCACCTTGTGGCACGTTTGCTCGGCTTTGCCATGCCGAAGAGGTGTCGGCCATTTCATCAAGTACATCACATGCCTCTTGGTAAGAAAGTTTCATAAAATTCCCTCCGGCCAATTGGTTCACAATGCATTGATTTGTGGTGTTGATGCCCCGATAAAAAGTTTGTTGAATCATAGCCTCGGTCATGTCGTTATTAGGGCACTCTTTCACCATTGTTCTATATCTTTCCCATATTTCATGCAAAGGTTCTGTTGGCTCCTGCTTGAAAGCTAGAATTTCATCCCGAAGAGCTGCCATATGACTTGGAGAGAAGAACTTGGCAATAAATTTGTCCGCCAATTCATCCCATGTTGTGATAGAATGATTGGGGAGCCTTTCTAACCAATCCAATGCTTTACCCCGAAGAGAGAACGGGAAAAGCCTCAATCTCAACGCGTCCTCGGACACGTTTGTCTGCTTGCTACCCCAACAAGTATCCACGAACCCCTTCAAGTGCTTGTAGGCATTTTGATCGGAGGCACCCGTGAAATAACCTCGTTGCTCGAGCAAGGTCAGCATAACATTTGTGATTTGAAAGTTCCCCGCCCGGATTCGGGGAGGAACAATAGCGCTGGCGTATCCTTGATTTGGTAGAACTCTGGGAGCCACTCTCGGCGGTTGCGGAGGAGGGTCTGGAATGTTGTTGTTCTCATTTGCATTTATATTGACATTCCGGCCTCTCCGTGGAAGTTGAGGTAAGACCTCATCTTGTTCTATATCTTCTACCTCCTCCCCTGCTATCACATTGCCGAGAGGGTCATGTGCATTAAGAGCCATGGTACCTAATTGATCAACACACAAAATTAGTGAATAAGAAGGAAAGAGAAGCAAAACACAATACTAGCTACACAGATAGTCAACACCGTAAAGTTCCCCGGCAACGGNACCAAATCTTAGTGAAAACTTAAGATTAATCCAAATAGCAAACACCCAACATCATTCATGCACTAAACAATCACACCCATCAATTTCCCACACTAGGGTTGAGCCACAACCCTAGCTAATGGGTTTAGCTAGACATAGTAGTAACAAAAATCAAAGAAATAATAGATGAAATTGATATAATAGTTAACTACAATGTTAATCTACTTGATTCCCCTTTAAAACTAGAAGAAATGGTCCAAAATAGGCAGATAATAGGGTAACACGAGTTCAGCTGCTCTCTACTCTCGAACCGCCTTCCTCAAAAAAACTCCATGCTAAAAAGTAAAATGTTCTATTTATACTTCACAGGAAAAATCGGACAAAAATACCCCTGAGGGTATGGCGCGGACCGTGCACAAATGACGCGCGGCCGCGTAGGGCTCTGGGTCTTCATTACTTGCATCTGGTACTGAGGGGCGCGGACCGCACAAAAGTGACGTGCGGCCGCATGAACTTCATCCACGCGGACCGCACTGATTAGGTGCGCGATCGCATGAGCTTTTGTCTCGAGTGATTGCTTCTCTGATTCTCTTAGGTGCGGACCGCACAAAAAGGGACGCGGACCGCGTTGGAACTGGGTGCGGATCGCGCGAAAAGAGGCGCGGACCACACAGCTTATCTTAAAAATATCATGGCCTCTGAACTTTCCTGCGCGGCCGCATGGCAAAACAGTGCGGTCCGAGCAGTTTGAACTTGGATATGCCCAGCTTCTGAACTCTCCTGCGCGGCCGCATGACAAAACAGTGCGGACCGCGCACGGCCTTTTGATCCCCCCTTTCAGTTGTCTCTTGACACTCGGCAGATTTCACTCCTTTTTTGAGCCGATCTTTAGTATTTGTCATCTGGTCGCTCAAACCTGCAATCAAGTGTCATTTGTAAGCATTTTGGGACTATTATATGGCAATAAATGCACAAAGCTCAGGTAAGAATGGGTATAAAAAACATGCAGAAATTGCAATTATCATTGGTCTGCCGAGAAGATGATACTGCCACCACCTACGGGCCCTGCCCTCTAGTTGGAAAGTAGTGAAATCCACCTCATGGGACCCAAATATCCTCATGTTGTGCAGTCTGTCCCTGCACCGATCAATGAAGTCCTAGGGATCCTCATGTTGCTCACCCTTGGAGATAGGAGGGTGTAGCCTAGTCCATTTGTCCAGTAGCTTTGTGGCTCACCGGCCGCAGCTGGTCTGGGCTCAGGTACGATTGCTGCTACTAGCTAGGCACCACCCACGGGTAGTGCGCCCGGGTCTGATATATACCAGTTGCATGCCTAGGAGCCTGAGCAGTAAGGGTCTGTCGGAAAAATACCAGCCTGGGTCATAGAATCCATGAACCGTAGCATACGGCCCATAACCTCCTGAAAGCCCAGTGCTGACATTAAATCGACTGGGGCTGGCTCTGCTACGGGCACCTTGCCTTGCTCGTCAAAAATGGAATCCTCAACTGGATTCACTGCTGGTACAACTGGGGCAACTCTGGGACGTCCTCTTCCCTACCTCAGGCTGGTTCCCACATCTGGCCTCTGCCTCGGCCTCTAGCAATAGGGGGAGCAGCCTCTCCCGGGTCTAGAATGTTTGTCGTGCGTGTTCTCACCATCTGTGATAGAATAAGAGAAAGAAACTTAGTACACCATCAACTGCACGATAGGAGATGAATAAAGAGTAGTTTCCTAACACCCTATAGCCTCTCGAAGATAAGTACGGACGTCTCTGCACCGATCCGCAAGACTCTATTAGGCCTGCCCATAACTTGTGAGACCTACGTGAACGTAATGTTGTAATACCATGTTGTCAAGACCCAATTTCTCCTATGGGCCGTGATAGCACCCAACGTTATCGCTAGGCAAACCAACAATGAACTAACTCTGTGATCCTTTGTTTTAGAGATTTAAAATAGTTGATTTTTAAGTTGTGCATAAATAAGAAGTAAGATTTTTAATAAAAATGATAGATCGAGTTATAAAGCAAGTGAAACAAGTTAAATAACCCAAAACCATTAAGTGTGTACTAGCATAAATCACCAAGACCTGGTGTCACAAGTGTATGGGATACTAGTAGAATATATAAAAGAATACTACTCTACTATCTGAAATAAAATAGACAGAAAAATAAGAAAAAGGAAGACTCAGGATGCTGCAGAACGGGCTCGGAAGGCAGCTCACCATGTAGTCTCGTAGTAGTGATCAAATGTGCGCGCCGGACTAATATCCAGATGCACCTGCCTCAGGTCCTGCACGTTAAGTGCAGTAGTATAGCGTGAGTACATAAATAACATGTACCCAATAAGTATCCAGTCTAACCTCGAAGAAGTAGTGACGAGGGTTCGAATTTGACACATACTATGGGCTAATAATAAAATGTCAAAAATTATAGCTAAGCATGGATTACATAAATATAGCTGAAAACTCCATAACAGGAAATAATAAACAATCTTCTCGCTAATAGTAAATCCGAAGTTTATTTCCATCACTTAACAATTTATATCTCAAGCCAATGAAGCAATATTAATTATAAATAATTCCAAATATTCATTATACGCAATTATGATGAGGTCGTACGACCCGATCCAACATAAAAATATTTAAACTCTTCACTGCCGAGGGTCGAACGGCATGTACCATAGATGCATCTATTTGCTACCGAGGCGTTCGGCCCGCTCCACAAGAAAAGAATATATATTTAAACAACCAATTCAAGATTTATTAAGGGTAAATATTCAAAGAAATACCAATTATTATTAACGGTCTAGTAAACGAAGTTTAAACTTTTACAATTCCTTTATCAAGTTCCAACATGATTTAAGCAATTAAACTAACAATTAGGGTGCAAATGTTGCAAGTATAATATGATTTGGGTCTTAGACTACCCGGACATAAGCATAATTAGTAGCTACGTACGGACTCTCGTCACCTCGTGCATACACAGCCTCCACAAATAAAAGCACATATTAATTCAATTCACCTATGGGGTTAATTCCCTCTTACAAGGTTAGAAAAGATACTTACCTCGACTCAAAGCCTACTTTCCGGTCCAAGATTGTGCTCAAACCCTCAATTCGATGTCGAACAATCCAAAACTAATCAAATGGTATATAAACTAATCAATACATGATCAAAAGTTCGTATTCCAACTATTAAAGTGATTACCCAACCCCAAATGTAAGATTCCTAAAATTCACCCCCGGGCCCAAGTGCCCGGATTCCGGAAATTTTCAAAGAAAGTTGTTACCCATAACCTCACGAACTCAAATATATGTTTTTCCCTAAGTTCCATAACAAATTTCGTGGTTAAATCTCATTTTTATCAAAAACCTAGGTTTTTCATCTAACCCATAAATTCCATAAATTTACATGTTAAAATCTACCAATAATCTATGTATTAAACTCACATTAGGTAGAAATTACTTACCCTCAATAGTTAGGTTGAAATCCCCCTTTTTGAAGCTCCAAAATCGCCCAAGTATGTGAAAAATGAGAGTAAAAGGTCTAAGTCCCATATTTAAAACAAGAATTCCGCTTCTTCGCAAACGTGGAAGAAGCCTCGCGTTCGCGAAGGCCTAAGCTGCCTGGGCATCGCGAGCGTGACAGCTTTTACGCAAATGCGCAGAGCAAAGTGCACTGGCCCTCCCCGACCCCATTTCCCCTGCGCGGATGTGAGTGGGGCTTCGCGAATGCGTAGACCTAGGCTCGCAAGGCTTCGCAAACGGGTGAGCTTGACCGCGAATGCGAAGGGCAATTGCCCGCTGCCCCCAACTCCTTCTTCGCGAATGTTATGGCCCTCCCGCATTGGCGAAGAAGGAAACCAGAACTGGAAAATCTGGTTTCCTAAAGTTAGCTCTGGGCACTCCGAAACACACCCGAGCCCCTCGGGACCCTGTCCAACTACACCAACAAGTCTAAAAAATATAATACGGATATGCTCGAACCCTCGAAATGCGTAAATCAACAACAAAACCAAGAATCACACCCTAAAACCAAATTGAATTAAAATATGAACTTCAAGTTTCCAAATCGCTCCGAAGCACCGAATCATACTTAGACTACTCGGAATGATACCAAATTTTGCGTGCAAGTCTTAAATCACCATATAGAACTATTCCCGGTCTTGAAATTCCATTTGGACTTCGATATCATCAAAACCTACTCCAAACCAATTTAAAGAACTTCAAAACCTTCAAAGAACCAACTTTCACTATTAGGCGTCCAAACGCTCCCGGATCATCCAAAACTCGATCCGAACATACGCCCAAGTCTGAAATCATCATACGAACCTATTGGGACCGTCAAATCCTGATTCTGAGGTTGTTTGCTAAAAATGTTGACCAAAGTGAAACTTAGCCTTTTTAGCCAACCTTAAGGAACCAAGTGTTCCAATTTCAACCTGAACCCTTCCAAATCCCGAACTAACTATCCCCGCAAGTCATAAAACAGTAAAAATACGTACGGGGAATCTTTTTTAGGGGAACGGAGTTCTATAAAGTAAAACGATCGGTCAGGTCGTTACAGATATATTATATAGATATATATAGATTATACTTAGATTTGATGATAAATATGGAATAATTATTAATCTGATAATAATGATAACTAACGTTCTAACACAAGTTACAACTCACTAATAATACCAAAGGAATTTATATTTTAAGTGCATATAATTAAACATACAATTAATTTTGTCTTATGATTTTCAAATGTCAAAGATTGGTCAATAGCAGCCTAAATAATCCTAGTACTGTAGAAAAGATATTATTCCAAAAACGGGAGGAAGGAAGGAAGGAAGACAGGCAGAAAACTAAAAGGATACACCAGGTGCCACATCAGCCGAAACCACACGAGTTGGACACACTTAAAGACTCGGAATTTACTTTTCTTTGAAATCAATCCACTTGTCCCATAAAATAGCTGGGGCCTGGGCTTAGGATATTTCTGAAAATATCCTTACAACCCCTCAAATTAACTCCCGTGTTCTTTCGCCCGCGTCATCAAATTTTTTAGCTTCAGTGCTTCACTTATCATAGTTTACTTCCCCTATATATAGAAGCCCACCTTTCATATTGACCATAAAGAAAAAACCTCTAATTGAACAAACATTCAACACTACTGGACTACTTTTTACTCTCAGTATATATATACATACTATCAGTGATCAAGAATGGATATCTTTCGAAGCTATTATTCCGACACTCTTACTGAATCTTCATCACTGTCTGAAAATAGCAGCTCCTCACGTAATAGAGCTAATCTTTCCGATGAGGAAGTTATGTTAGCTTCAAATAACCCCAAGAAGCGCGCCGGGAGAAAGAAGTTTCGCGAGACACGTCATGCAACATACAGGGGAGTGAGGAAGAGGAATTCAGACAGATGGGTTTGTGAAATCAGACAACCAAATAAGAAATCAAGAATATGGCTTGGAACTTACCCCACTGCAGAAATGGCGGCTAGAGCTCATGACGTGGCGGCTATTGCATTAAGGGGTCGTTCTGCTTGCTTGAACTTTGCTGACTCTGTTTGGAAGTTGCCTATCCCTGCTTCCGCCGACGCTAAGGATATTCAGAGAGCGGCGGCAGAGGCCGCCGAGGCTTTCGGCCGCCCATCTGAGTCAGAAGAAGCAGATTCAGGCACTACTCCTGAAACGCCAGAAAGTAGTAAGTTATTTATGGATGAGGAAGCTCTGTTTTGCATGCCGGGATTGCTAGCAAATATGGCGGAAGGACTAATGCTGCCTCCACCTCACTACGTAGAAGTTGGCGATTATGTGGAAGCTGCTGCTGATATGCCTCTATGGAGTTATACTATGTAAATACTTCTGGTTATTGCCTCTTTTGAAAAATCTATATCATCGTAAGTATATATAGTCAATACGCAATCAAGATGCTTGAGGTGAAGTTCCTTCAATTAGGATTTTGGAGATATATACTGGTAGTTTCGTACTCAATATTTGGATGGTACGAATATACAATACTAGCATTATAATTTAGTATAACGATGTAAATAGTAATTAAGTAGTATGCTCTACTAGCATCAGAAAGTGTTTTGTGCTAAATGCAGGACATTGATGTTAGTTACCGTACGTCACCAATTTTGTGATAACTTGTCAACTGGATGACTTGGTTAGGCAAGTGAGAGAAAAAAAGTTTTGTTATTTTCATGCCATTGTATTTTGAATGAAATAAGTGGCCAAGTAATTAATGGACCTATTTCATCAGTTTTTGAGTATTCAATATTTTTCGCCTTCTAAGATTATTATATAAACTTGGACTAATATTTAAAAGATATAATTATTATTTTGCCACTTTTGATATTTATAAAAAAGTCACTTCTAAGTACTTTTTCTTTGTAGCCTTTAGTATCTAAATTTAATTTTGTAACCCAAATCTTAAGCGAAAATAATGATGCAAGCATATGAATTTTCACTACTTACAGTGTGAATTACTGGAAGCCATTCTCCTCCTTGTAATTAACTAGAAGTTCATTAAAGTACAAAGCGTCTCCTAACGTCATCTATTATGTGACCTTCATAGTCGTTGATTTACAACCACAGAACATTTTCGTTGATGGGACCTTCATAGAACATACGAGACTAAAATATACATGGACGACAACCAAAGATCCCTACTAAATCCAAATAGCATGGCATGGAATGACACCTCACTTACGAGGAGCTGAAATCGTTTGATAATGATGTACAGCAAATAATAGCATATTCACAATAATATATTTGGAAATTTACTATCAAATGATAAAATTTCACGAAAACAAAGCAGCCTCAGGCTGCAATTGTGTACAGTGAGAATATTAAACATGATTCTCAGAACACCATGAAGCACATGGAAACACACGTCATAAATATTCACCTCAAGGAGCTTTAAATGACTTGATCTTGTGCCCTAGCTCAAATAAAGTTCACGCCACATAAGCACAAAAAGCAACAACAGAATTTCAAATGCTATTACAAAGCTACTGGAGAAGAATTTGAAAATCAAACAGTGAATCAAAGCTAGGCCTACTGAAGTTGGAAATAGAGAAACTCGCATGGGTAGGCATCTCCTAGAAATGCACACAGCGAGAAAAAAAAAAGACAGCCTGCTGACAATTAACAAAGACCTGACAAGCAAATAATTTCATACATAACTAGCAGTTAGAAGCACATGATTGTTCAATCTACTTTGCTTTCTTGATGAGAGTTGTTGTCCTGAATTCACTGTCATCCCGCACAAAGCTCCACCACAAGCAGGTCAGAGGGATGGTGGTGGCATGCCATAGAGCATGGGCATCCACAAATCCCCTATAGGGAGGAAAGTCATATAACTCAAGGAGTGTAGCGAGACCTCCACCAATCACCACAACCCATAGTTTCCAGCGTGACGGATGGCGAGTAACCCCTGCCCAGACAGCCCATAAGATAAGCTGCAGCATGCCCATAGACATACAGACTTTCATGTTCCACCCTGCAATGTGATCAAGCAACATCAGTTTTCCTACTCTCCGATACTTGATACATTCATGAAATCTAAAGAGCCACTACAATCATGCATCATTATTATTTCAAAGTGACACAAGGCAAGTATTTGCAACTAAAATTGGAATGTCAGAAGATATTATGCCCCAACTTAATAATAGCATCTGTGATATATCTTCTTCTCTTCAGTTGATACACAAATTGCTTCAATAGCCTCTGCATTTTCTCACCATTATTTTATTTTTGTCGTGTTACTCATTTCCGGTCAAACTTCTATTGTCAAAAACAATTGCACGGGCATCTTAAATTATAAGGACCTAAGGTCATTTAATTCTAAAGGTACAGTACATAAACTCATACCTAGAGTCCTAGACAGATTTAAGGTCACAGAGCGTAACAAGTTTACGGTAATTAGTTCATTTATTAAGTGAGTAGTTAATATTTTTGTTATTAGGATATTAACTCCCATAATTATATGAACAGAAAATAGAGCCAACATGGTTCAAATATGTGATGCTACTGATCATTGAGAAACTAAACACAGTTAAAGATCAAAAGAGAGAGATAAAATGGAGGACATTTAGGAAACTAAAAGTGTTGATGTTACAAACTAGATTTGTTTATACTGCAAAATCATCCAAAAATTTGCTGTTTCATTTTCCGTTAGCAGGAGATTGTGCAAGGAACACTTTATCACAATCATACATTATTCTATGGAAGTGGTGATGAAAGTGACATACCATAGTCAAGCTGGTAACAGTTCAGATACAAGATGTGGGTTGTCACAAATGCAAGAATGGGAGCAGCAGCCATTACCCTTGCTGCCTCGTCTCTCACATTGAAGACTCGCAATACAGCCAGGATCAGAGAAAACCCCAACAATGCAACGGCAGATGAATAGTCTAGCTTCTCAGTCAAGTCTACGTCTCTAAAGAGAGTTACAAAACATCAGAAGACAGAACATGGAAATTCGCAAATGAGAAACTGTAAGCTATTTGAGAAAATAAAAGAAGAGCAAAAAATGTGCCTGACTAGATAATTTGATGAATATAAGGTACACCTATTTACAAGTGTCTAACAGAATACATATGGGTAGTAACTATCTTAAGAACTTAAACTTCTAATATCTTAACACTGACATTCTCACGGCCCCCTTATATTTAATTGGAAAAACCAATTTACTTATTTTGACAACACATAAGAGCAAACAAGCCTTGGAATAGTAAAAAGTCACCAAAACGTCACTTGAATAGAATCGGAATCACTCAGAGAAAGAAAAGAGTCCCTAATATGGTTTCACGGAGATCCTGTATGAAAATCATTGGAAAAGCATAACCGCTGGGATCTTATAGGAAAGTTCAGGTCGTAGGGACCGTTACTGGATTAACTGCCAAAATAAAAAG